TATATATATATATAGATATATTTTCATGATACTATTTAGTTTATGTATCAAAAATTTTCTTTTGTTGGGTAAACTCTGCCCACATTAATAGCCTGTTAGGCTAAGCTTTAAAAATCAACTAATTATATTTTGAGAAATATCTTTTTCTCAAAAGTATTTTTGAAAAAAAAAAAGTAGTATTTGGTTAATTAATTTGAGAGCAATTATGTGCAGTAATTAGTGTTTGGCTAAACTTTTAAAAAGTGTTTCTAATAACCTGTTTGGCCAAACTTATAAAATCAGCTTATTTTGAGAAGTGTTTTTCTAAAAAGTACTTTTTAAAAAAGTGCTTTTGGTGAGAAGCAGTTTGTGTTTGGCTAATTAATTTGAAAATCACTTTTGAGCAGTAATTGGTGTTTGGCCAAACTTTTGAAAACTGCTTCTAAGTGTATTTTTCTCAAAAGTGCTTCTCAGAAAAGTGCTTTTGAAGAGAAACTAATTTTTTCTGCTTCTCAAAAACTGCTTTTGTTTCTCCTCAAAAACACTTTTTTCCTTCTAAAAGTTTGGCCAAACACCTCAATTTTTGGCTAAAAGTGCTTTCGGCCAAAAAAAAAATACTTTTGGCCCAAAAAAAAGCTTGGCCCAACAAGCTATTAGTGTATTTTTCTCAAAAGTGCTTTTCAAAAAAGCTATTTTTTTAATTCTCCAAAACGGCTTCCGCTTCTACTCAAAAGAACTTTTTTTCTTCTAAAATTTTGGTCAAATACTTCAACTTTTTTTAAAAAAAATTTAAATTAAAAAAAATGACTTTTGTCTTTGAGAAACTTGGCCCATACAGGCTGTAAGAGGAGGAGGAAAGCATTATGGTACTATAATAAACTTTTTCACTCTTTTTCTTTCTTTTTTTGTAATAGGAAAATGAAAAATTGGAGATGGCCAAGTGCTGAGTTGATCTATGACTTGTGCTATTCATATATTTATGTACATCCAAAAGAACGACAGAAAAAAGAGTGAACGAGCTTTATATTGCAGCTAGCTGCCGTGAACAAAGAGAAAAAGGTCCATATATATTCCCTACAAGTCCTTTTTATAAGTACTAGAAATTCAAAGCTTTTTTTTCTATAAGGACACGATCCGGGTCTATCGCTCTTTTCATCACCTCTTCCTCCTACTGTCCTTATTCTTCTTTTTTTAGTTTAATCATTCGTTATTCGAAATCCACTAAGCTCGACTCAGTTCCTCCTTTCTTATTGCTGACGCTTTTAATTTGTTTTTTTAATATTTTGGAAATGGATGATCATGAGTATGGAATGATGGATCTAACACAGTACTTGAACGGAAGGCCTATATTTTCTTCCAATATTCAGCCACATCTGCAATCGGATTTTTTATGCAATCATCAACACTATGAGATGGTAATGGCTACTACTGTGCCACAACATGACAATTGTCTTCCTCATCCCACGGCAACTGCAACTGCTAGACCTAGTGTTAGTGGCGGTGGCGGTGGCGGCGGGGTCACGTTTAGTACTGCGTCGGAGATGGAGGGTTGTGGTGGTGGTGGTGGTGGTGGTGGTGCTATGCGCGGAGGTGGTGACGGCGGCAATGGACGGTGGCCAAGGCAAGAGACTCTTACACTACTTGAAGTTAGATCACAACTTGATTCCAAGTTCAAGGAAGCTAATCAGAAAGGTCCCCTTTGGGATGGAGTCTCCAGGTATACTATATATATATATATGTACCCTCCCACTAAATACTTTAACCTAATTCAACGGATGGGGTTATTCAATCCCCGAGCTTCTGGCCTTGAAAACTGACTTAGGATTTGTTACTTAGATAGTGAGTAGCAAAAAAAGGGTTGGGTTTAAAGCTTACAATTTTTACTTTTATAGTCGTGGTCACGGCACCCGTTAAGTTCGGCAAAAACTCCCTATACATGTATGTCCTTAGAAAATAGTGATATATTAATAGTAGGCATCGTGTATACAAAGCAGATTTTGATTGAATCCAAAAGTACACCCGACCTTCAAATCCTGGCCGGTTCACCTCTGCTTTCACGCACCAGCTTGGGAAGCTACCTGAAATTTTCCTCATTAGCCGAAGGCGGAACCAGCTCCTCCCGAACCATCCTCAAAAGTGTATAAAGGGAGAAACTTTAATTTGCACGCCTAAAAATTCCGTTAAATTGTATGATAATCTCATCTAAACAATTAAGCTAGTAGAGAAAGCAACACTTGTGTTCATTATATATGCCGTCTCAACAAATTCAATAGATGGCCAACGTCTCTATTTTACTTCTTCCTCCCATTTTTGTTTTGTTTTGATATGTTTAGTTGTATTAAAGTTGTCATCAATTTTATTTTGTTTTTGTCTTTTCTTGTTTTTGGGGTGGGGTGTGGGGGAGGTCTTAAGTTGTTTCTTGATGGGAAATACCCAATTTTCTCAGTAATGTTCAGAACAAGAGTTGCTTTTATGTGAGGTTTTCTGTATAGGCAGCAATTGTAAGCAACCTCCTCAGTGAATTAATTGGTTACTATTTGTGTGTTAGAAAATGACAGTTCATTGAAGTTCAGTTGGAGAATCAGTTGTTATTTTCATCTTTATTTCGTCACTTCTGCTGTTTCATTACCTCGCTTTCTGATCATCACATAATTTAAGAATGAGTAGCTGGCTTTATTCAAGAGACTTTTTACTTCCTTTTAGCTAGAAAAATGGCAGGATTCTTTTGGATGCCAAGTACCTATTTTGCTGCTTCCATCAATATCACTTGAAGTTGTTGCCTGTTGGACTGACCATTTAGCCATTTAATCTAGGGTTCTTTTATATTCTATCTATTCCATTTTATATGTTACTCTTTTCTAATATGTTCTCGGAAAAAAAATGAAGCGTTTCTATATTTTGTAAACACTTTAACATTAAATTTCTCATTTTACCTTTAATGTCATGTTTTTTAGATCATAAAAATTTCCTGATACATTTAAAACCCCAAGTTCTAAGAGTGTTTTTGGTATGTGCCAAAAGTCTGTCTTGCTCTTAAATTTCGCGTTCAGTTAAACACCAATATAAGTAACTGATGGAGTTGATGGAGTATTATGTACTTATAAACCTTAATTAACACCCTATAATCTTCTAATGCATGCCTCTTTCACCTCCAATTTTAGGATTATGTCTGAGGAACATGGATATCAAAGGAGTGGGAAGAAGTGCAGGGAGAAATTTGAGAACTTATACAAATATTACAAGAAGACTAAAGAAGGGAAAGCTGGAAGACAAGATGGCAAACATTATAGATACTTTAGACAGCTCGAAGCACTTTATGGTAAAACAAGCAATACAATCTCAATATCAGAAACCAACAATATTGGAAGCAGTAATTTTCACTACAATGCCATAAACAACAATAACCAAGAAGCTCATAATTTTCATCCTCAGGGTCCTAAGCTCTCTGATAGTCTTAATAATCTCTCTGATTCCTCTGATTCTGATCACGCTACTTCATCCGATGATAGCGAACTCAATACGGACAATGATTTAAAAAAAAAGAGGAAGAAGAGAAGGGGGAAAAGGAGTTGGAAAGCTACGATAAGAGACTTTGTGGACATACAAATGAAGAAGTTAATAGAGAAACAAGAAGCTTGGTTAGAGAAAATGATGAAGACAATTGAACACAAGGAACAAGAGAGGATTTTAAGGGAAGAAGAATGGAGGAAACAAGAGTCAATTAGGATAGAAAATGAGCAAAAGTTTTGGGCTGGTGAAAGAGCATGGATTCAAGCTCGTGATACTGCTTTAATTGATGCATTGCGTAAACTAAGTGGAGATCAAGAACTGATAAAGAGTAATAAAAATGCTTCAATATGTAAAGACATGAATTGGGATGACATCAATAGAATCAAGTGCAACAAGAAACAAAAAGAGAATTCCTTGAGCTCATATTATAATTTCAAGAACAATGAAGAAGGGAGATCATATTGTGAAACATCAAGACATGTACCAAATGTTCACCAAATGATGGATCCTGGGATGTTTTAGGTAAGTGGTTAATTTAAGTTTGATTGTGATATTTTTTTTTTAATGAGGTGCTAACTGGTATGTGGAATATTTAGGGATTATTGAAATTAACTTATCCTAGGAGATGAGATTTAATTGGGTCGATTTTTATCTTCATTTTTAATTATTTCCAGATATTCTTTTGAGATTTAATTTCTTTATCTTAATGTTGGTCTGAGACCCTGATATGATGTGCTTTTTCCTTCAATTTTTGTCAATTAGCTGGTTTCCACATGGCTTCGACTTATCATCCCCTAGTTGCTTTGTTTTTTTAGAGTAAAATAATTTTATTGATGAACTTTTCTGAGCACAATTCTATGTATTTCCTTAATTCCAGGGTTTAAGCAGCATATTTATGATACGGACTTATGTATTTGATCTCCATGAAAAGATATTTCATGAGTTTATAAAAATTTTGAGATAGTTGCTTTGTTTTGATGTTAGGTTAATATATGGATCTCTTATGTAAGTGGTTAGTGAGATATCTGAGTTCGTTCCCTCTATCATGAACTAAAACCATAACCCTTCTTCACATTAGTCCTTTATGCAATTTTATTTTTGTTATGTTAAAATGTGTAAATCAGGCATGAAATTCTTTTAAATGAGAACCATCTTCAAGCAATTTTTTTCACTTATTTATTTGATTAGCTAGGTAATGATCTTGAAGTCTTAACGATTTTCAGGAATTATCGATCAGATGACACCTTAGTTTTTTTGTATGGTAAAAGTAGCAAACCTTCACGTCTGTTTCTTTTTTCTAATTTTTTTTTTTGGCCTAAACTACTTTCCTTAAGCTTGTGTAGATACTAGATAATACGCAAATGTTAACACCTGCCTCACTTAGCACTTGGCAATATATACATTTATATATAGTATGCATTCTTCAGTTTTTCTTTTAAAAAAAAAAAAAATTTAACTGGCTCTGCAAGGCTCGTAGGTAAGCCTGAAAATGGAGTTGTCATTTAAGGTCAGGATTTCCAAGTTGGATAATGAGGTGAAAACTAGATAAATAGTACTTTTTTTTTATCTCAGTTACTTGTCAAATCAATGGCATCATATTCATATCACCCATGCATGCATAAAATTTCTTTCTTTTTTCTTTATAATTTGACCACACATAAGTTGAGGATTCCCACAATGTGGTTTGAATAACTTGTTTGGAATGAGGGTAGATTTTCTTGTAAATTTTAGAGAACATTGGAAGTAACAAAAGCGAAGGGCTGAAAAAGAGATAATATAATTCATGAAACAAGAAAGAAATAGAGAATAAAGCTGCGAAACTAATTGATCAGCTTTGCCATTTGTAGTTCTTTGTGATCAGTGTGGAAGCTTCTTCCTTTACTCTATCCATGAATATATATATGACACTATTACACGACAGTTCGAAAAGCCCTTCTAATTAATGCATGGTTCTGACTACTCAGGAACGTCTGCGAACTTTAATTTTCCACACTATTCATTCAGGGTACACATAAAACCGACAAATCATACCAATCCGATAATTCGAGTCAAACCGAGAGGAAAAAACTCGACTATGGTTTGGTGTTGGAAAAAAAAACCGGCCATATTTGGTTTGATTTGGTTTTAACTAAAAAAAAGTCAAACCGAAACCAAACTAACCCGACATTATATGTATAGAAATTTTAAATATATTTAATACATAAAAAATATTTATGGTAGCATAATTTATAAATATTTTTAAAGTTTTTTCACAGTTTTAGAGTGAAAACAAAAACTAACTCTTTTTGGCAAAAGACTAGCTTGACGTGGAAATTTGAATATAGCGCAACTTTGGGGTTTGCCTGCTTACCCTTCTCGAGAAGCTTTCAGCCTGTTACTTGGGAGAGAATAGCTATCTGAAATATTATGAAAGGATAAGTTACAGCAACGAAAAAATCGACTTAGTTGCTTATTTCAGTGTCAAACAAGCACTAATTTCGGACCGTTCGGATTGAATATGAAAATTTTGGTTTGGATTTTAGATTTTCGAATTGAAAGAAATTACAATCCAATTCCAATCCAAATAAGTTCGGATTGATTCGGATTTTTTAAGTTCGGTTTCTGATTAATCGGTTTGGATATTTTGAATTTTTGGTTTTGAGCTTATAAGTTGAAATATTTCTTCTTTTTACAAAAAAAAAAATGAATATCCAAATGAATTACTCATGTTAAATTGCTTGAAAAGTTCATCATTTTCACTGCAATCATCCAAATAAAGTATTCAAGTAATGAAATTATTATCAATGAAATGTAAGACAAACATTAATAAAGTCGATAAGAAGTAGCAATAGTAAAATCATATCCAAATAAAAAGTATTCTGACAGAAACTTAGTAATTAATACTGAATATATGAGATAATATCTTATGGGTAGGGTATTTAACTTCTTACTATTGACATATGGATAATTACTAAATATAATTTAGGATTTTCGGATATCCAAATATTCGAAGTACCAAATCCAATATCCAATCCATAATCCAAAAATTTTAAAAATTAAATCTAAAATCCGAAAAACCAAACCAAAAATCCAAAAAATTAAGATTTCGCTTTGGATTTCGGATTTGCCTAAGCCCACACCTAACCCCAATAATTAAGAAGACAGAAAATATAGACGAGGAAAATCAGGAGGAGAAAAAGAAAAAGAAAAAGAACTACCACCATCTGATCAGATTCTATGCACCAGTCCAGGGGCGTAGTTAGGTAGAGAAAATTGAATATCATCCGTTGAAAAATTACATTCTGCAAATAAGGCAAAAAAGTTTTTTTTTTTTAAAAAAATATATTGTTAAACGTTTTTCCAAAAACTTACATTGTGCAGAAAGGTACCTTCTTCTTTTTTTGTATAAATTATTGAATCCATTTGATATAAGGTAAATTACAAGTGAAATGACAAATTAAAGGAGTTCAAAAAATTGCTTTTGTTATCGATTCAAATCTATTGCGATATATTAAACAGACAGAAAATTTTGCAATAATTTTTATAAAGTTTATAGTTTATATAAGCCATTGCAAGAAACCGTTTTTATTTTTGTTTATTAAATTTAGTTCTGGATAATTATTTATGCACAATAAAATGAGACATGACGCACAAAATATATACAAATCACGAAAGTAAAATGTTCACCAATCATAATTCCAAATATCCACCAATAAAAGCAAAATGCAAAATAGTGTATAGCAACTTGAGAGCATATATGTTCTCACATGATAATGAGAAAAATTCCAAACTAAGAGTTCATAAAATATTTGAACACACTACTGATTTCTGCAACAATCTCATGATTCTAAATAGCGTCTTCATTCTCAACCCTCTGTTCATTTGATTCGCCTACAAAAGATAATAAATAAATATTAGCAAATGTTTGGAAAGAAATACATTCTCAACATATATACTAATTTCACAACTAAAGTTGGAGTAGGAATGTACAACAATCCTAGCAAACTTAACCAATCAATAAAATTTTCAGTAAAGTTTCCCCTATATATATTTGGCAAAAACTCTATCCCGTAAACCTTTTTTATCATACATGTTCATATCCAACAACCAATTTCACATACAACCATCACCTGCTCAGTACATCATACCTTGAAGTATTGAGCAAATTTACTTAGTAGAAATTACTTTAACCAGTAATTAACAGTAGAAAACCATAAATAAGACATATTATAAAATCTCATTTCAAGAATTGCATGCATTCTTTTGTTTCTTAACATGTGTGTAAATTTTAAACTTGGGTACAGAACATAAAGGGGTAGGTTCATCTCAATCAAGTGTAGATGTGCATTTTCACATTGAAGTGTGAAAACTCCAAAAACAATTACTGCATCAACAACTTTAAAAGCTTAGTACAGCTCTTTTCGACTTAAGAATGTCAAGCTCAAGTGAGTTTAACATCTTTATCAAAATTTCATAGTTTATTTGAGATCTCTAAAGACATCCAATTCTAAAGACATTTATTCTATGTATATAGAACCCAAGTAGTAAACTCTGTTTTACTACTGATTTTCGAAATCAAGTAGAAGCAATACACACCAGAAAATAAATCCTCTCTGAATTCCTAGCGATTGAGAAGAAAAAAGAGAACAAAATTTTCAGCAGCTTCCAACTTATCTTTCTATGGTATCTCAAGGAAAACTTACTTTGCCTTGTCATGAAATAGGCCATCATTATCGTCATGTATGCTGGGACCTTCATCATCATTATTGGGACGTTCACGTTTTCTCCAGAAATATCCTTCCCCGTGAAAATTCCATTTGCTGTATCCTTTAACAAACCCGTAAACAACCAAATGATCCTCCACCACATTTCTATAATACCAATAACGATTCATGCACTTTATACAAGGGCACATTATTTCTTTTCCTTGAGCAGCTCGTTCAAATGCAAAATCAAGGAAATCATTCACTCCACGGATATATTCATCGGTTTCTCTTCGAAGATTCATCCAACTTTTATCTATGTTTTCCATTGAATATCCTATGTGACACAAGCAAATCACATAAAGCAAGAAAAACCAACATAAAAATCTGAAAATTAAATATAACCAATGAGTTTTGAAGAGTTCACATGCGTACCTAGAATAAGAAATTTCAAATGTACAAATGTTATCTACCCGAAATATAGAATTGTTGATGTCTTCTATAACAATGTCATCTTATTATTCACTTTTGATCAGAACATTGGTTCCTTATCCCTCCCATCCCACACCTGACACCACCACCCTCTTATATGAGACAGTTCAAACAAGTAAACATAATATCAAAGCTGGCAGAAGTACAGTACAAATCTGCCACCCATCAACAAGAATTTTCCAAGTATTAAGCTCAAGAGAAATTGTGAATCCAAAATACATATTCAAAGTCGTACTCCCTTCTAACAGTTTAAGCTTTTAAATGCCATGATTCTCAACACGGCGTGGTGTCAAAATAGAACATAATATTCTGGTTTTCTTGTCTGATGGCCAGAGTTAGGCTTTTTTTGAGTAATTTCTTGATTTGATTAGAAGTAATTTGTGTAGCATTCAACTCGTCTAGATTCTTCATTATTTGGAAACACTGTCGCCATACCAATTGTTGGAACAAATGATTTCTACTGCTTTTAGAGCAGCAGCGGACACACTAAACAGAATATCATTTGAAGCGGCGCTCAGATGCTTGCAAAGTACATTCTAGCACTTAATTGACATTGAAAAACGGATAAATCTTTTCCTAGTTTTTTAAGATCCTGGAGGCAAGCACAGGATGCAACTAAGGAGAAAGAAAAAAGAAAAAACATAAACCAGCAGCTAACAATTGTCTTACTACGTAAACTGCAACTAAAAAGTAGCTGCTGCAATGGCACAACCACTGCACTATCTAGAACAGTAAATCTTCATTACACCTTAATGACAAAAAACAGTACTCATTAGTAAAAACAGTAATAGGCTCATTAGTATTTTAATGTATATCTTAAACATAGCTAAAGTTAAATGATAGGATTCTTTTGTATGTCAATCAACCAGGGCAGCGAAGTTAGTGTATAGCTCGCTAGCAGATAAGCTAACTGGCAATTTTCGCTACCGTAAATAAGAATCTTGGCCACCAACGTTAACCAAATGGCAGTCAAACATAAAATGCTAGGAAGAAGGAAATAGCGGCTCCAAGTCAACAATAGAACCCTCTCTCCCCCGGCCAAGAGCTTCATTCCAGAAAATTTATGAGAGAATCACGCAATTCAGAACTTTAATCCTTAAATTGCAAGCAGAAATGGAGCTTAAAAAGAGAGGATGCTTAATAACTGTACTTAAACGAAAACAACACAGCTGAACTACAGGTGATAAAATGTTTGTTCGAGTTAATTAACGACAGAAATCAAATGCCCATAAGGAATAACCGAATAGTCATCTCAGATTAATGAAGAACCGGGAATACATGTTCAAGGACACATTCAAAGACTTTTGGAAGTACAAAACATAATATATTACTCCCTCCGTTTTAATTTATATTGCACATTTTCCTTATTAGTCTATTCCAAAAAGAACGACACATTTCTATACGAGGAAGCAATTTAACTTAAAAGACTTTTTATTTTACTCGTTTTACCCTTAATGACAAGCTTCTATACATACACAAATGATAATGAACCCATAAAGCTTTTACGGCCTTCAGGTGTTTAAGAACAAGAGAGACAACCCACAAAATGGATTTAAACTTAGCATATAAGCTGCAAGTTGAGAACCACAAATGAAGTATAAACGAGAGAGACATACCACAAACATTAGCTTTCTTCTACTTAAATATTTTTCAATTCCTAATGTGTTAAAAACGTATGATAAACATGGGAGTTATGAACCTGGAGAGGGTTATACAGATTCATCTAACTTTATAAACAGGTTGATGCTCTGCTTGGGTAGTTGAGCATAATGGGCAAGCAAATCGAAATAAGAACATCCTCTAAAACCAAATTAACATAAACCCATAAGGCCAGTGGTGGATCCACCCTTTAGGGTGGGGTGGTATGGCACCCGCTACGTTGGCAAAATTATTATATATTTATGTAGAAATTTTTTTAAACGAGGTTAAATATTTGATCCCGCCACCCCCAGTTGCAAACTAGACAAAGGTGCCATCAGGGGTGGCCCAATGGTGTTTGGGGCGTAAAGCCAAACTTCAATGAGGGGCCATTTAGTATTAAAAAACTCATTTAGTAAAACTATATTTAAAGTTTATTTTTCTAGTTTTTGAGATGTAAATTATTAATAATTTATTTATAATCGATTTCTTGACTAGGATTATAAATAAATAAAAAGATGATACATATAGTTACAAACAAAAGATATCAAAAAATAATAAATTCTAGATGCAAAGTAATAAAAAAAGTACAGAACAATTGAACTTGGTTTAACAAACATTTATAGATAGGTTGATATTACTTTTATTGCTTCAATATTTTTGGTGCAATGCCGGGAAAGCTTGACAAAAAAGGGTTGCAATTGCTTTTTACTATCTTACTTGACGGAATATTTTATGAGATAGTGAACTTGTAAAAAAAGACAAAATAATCAAAGTAATATGGGCCTCATGATAATGATGATAGTGTATAAATGAGTCAAGAAACATATTCACACCTAAAGTTTAGGGGCGAATCCCAAAAGTAACTATTCATATTACCAAATTATCTCTTATTTCCTTTTTCATGAAAAATGTATTTTTTTTTTATATATTAGATATTTTTTTAAAAAAAATTATCATATGCAGCTATTTAATATTAGAAAATTTTGGGCCCCCATAGATATGGAACCTCAAGCAGTTGCTTGAGTTGCCTTACCATCGGGCCACCCCTGGGTGCCATAGCCGGTAGACCTTTTTAAAAGTTTTTCTCGTGTGTAAAATTCAAGTTCGAATTTATCTTGAACCTTATCTGACTTTCCCTTTTCGTTCTGCATTTTATTTCCTTTGTGCCAATCATTTTCCTTTTTGGCTACCTCTATTTGTCATTTATTATTTTTTATATTTTTTGTCTATATTCTATTATTTTATTTGTGATCTTTAACAAGATCACTCAAAAAAGAGCCTCCAAAATTTAAAATTTCATAAAATAAGCATCTCTATTAATCTCAAATCTTTTAAAGTAATTTTTTTCTTTCAAAATCAAAAAACTTGGGTCTTGATAGGAATTTTGGATTGAGATCAACTTTAATTTTTATAATTTTTTAATTATAACATAAAATTTTGTGTTATTCTATAATTGTTAAATACAACTTAAATCTCTTTACTATTAAATTATGATGAATATTTCGTAAGCATTGCCTAGAAAAATATGAGATTTATTATTTTACTTTTTGGAATATTGTAGTTTATCTAATTCTGCATTTACTCATGGGGTATAGTTTATCTATTGAAGATATTTTTTTATTATTCTTATTCAGATTGGTGAAATTCCCTTATTGGAGATGTTATTTTACTTGTGCAGATTTATTTTAGCATACAAAAAAGATGTAGTTCCCAATTAAAAATATTGAATACTTGTATTGTTAATAATGAAGGTGTGATTCCTTCTTTAAAATGCTAATTACATTTGCTTCTTGATGTATGAGATGTAATTTTTATTTAACAACAACAACAACATATCCAGTGAAATCTCACAAGTCGAGTATGCGATCGAGATATAATTTTCATATTTGCAAATAAAAAAATGCCAATTAAATTGCCCGAATAAACTAAAAAAAATGAATGAAACAAGCGTTCCGAACAAACTCTATATTAATTATTACAAGATCTATATTAAAGAAAATTATGGCACCCATAACCTTCAAATCATAGATCCGCCTCTACATAAGGCCATAACATATTTACGAAAATCAGAAATGAAATTTGAAATGATACCTTTGATAGTACTGCAGAATCACAAATATATTGTTAATCCCAAGACCGGTTCAATGACTCTAGCGATTGTTAACAGCTTCGTCCGACAATTGGTCTTACCCAACAAGAATTACCACAAAATGGAGAAGACAAGAGAATAAACCTGAACCCTAGGTTGAAGTTTGTCTTCAATTTGTTTCAATTTTCAGTCTTTTAAAATGGGAAGTGTTTTCTTTTGCGAGTTGTCCGAGGAAAGCTTAACAGGAGTAATAATGAATTAGAAGAGCTACTTTATGCAACGGTTGCGTAACCGTTGCAATAGATCAACTTATTATAATGGTTTGTTTTCAAAAATACAACGGGCTTGTTCGAAAAGATTTCAATAGAGGCAGAGCTACACTCGAAAAATATTTCAATAGAGCTTTTGCAATACATGCTACCCTTGATCCTATATCCGCGGCCAAAAATGAACTGATCATTGCAAATACTAAAAAAAAAAAAAAAAACTGATCATATATTCGCGGCCAATTATGATCGGAGACGGATTCAGGATTTGATGAGTACGGGTGCCACTGTTTTGATCCACTATTTAATATAAACGTATCAAAAGTCAAGGAAGTGAATTAGGATGTGTACATCTGGTCGATTCGCTCTGTTTTGAATTATTTCGGTTCAAGTCGATCATTTTGGAATTAATTCGGTTAGCTTTACAATTATTTTTTATTTATTTTTTTATAAACAAGCACGTGATAACCAAACTCAAAATGTCTGATTCTTTATTCAAAATCAAGGAAAACATAATACTAACTAGATAAAAACGAAAAATAATCAACGCATATTCAAATTATTATTTTAAGATCTAAAAAAAGAACCAGAAGCAAATATACTTTTATGATTTAAATAAATAATTGTACATAGAGAAGAAATACAACAATTAAAATAAGAGAAATTAAGAAAAAGAAAAAATGGAAAGTGGGAACAAGTAGGGCAAAAAGCCCAAAAAAGAGAAACTACCATTCATGTCCATTTGTAAATAACTTATTACAAAAATTGACCAATTCATAAAATATTACTAATATTAGTCAATTAGTTATTAGAATATATTGGGTACATCCTAAGGAGGTTGAATGTCAGATTTGGGATGATTTGATGGAGTTTTCAGGTGGTTTGAATTGAAAATTCGAAGTAGAAGATGAACATGGAAAAAAATGATATGTTTATCATATTGTATCATTTGTGTATCACATATGTATCATATTTGTATCACATGTACAACAACAACAACAACAACAACAACAAACTCAGTATATTCCCAACAGGTGGGGTCTGGGGAGGGTAGTCTGTACGCAAACCTTACTCCTACCTAATGCAGGTAGAGGGGTTATTTCCAATAGACCCTCGGCTCAGGAGGGGTAAGAAGAAGAAGAGGAAAGCAAGGAAGGAAGAAAGAAGGAAGAGAAAAGAAAAAGGGATAGATAAAGGATAAGTAGTACAAAATAATAGCAACAGGGAATACAATATCTGAGGCGAACAAAATCACATAACGTAATAAAAACCTAAGAATATGAAGGGACATGCGTGCTACTAAGACTATCGGTGAACAACTAAAAACTACCCACTAACCTTCTACCTTAATCCTCGACCTCCACACCCTCCTATCAAGGGTCATGTCCTCAGTGAACTGAAGCAGCGCCATGTCCTGTCTAATCACCTCTCCCAAGAATTTCTTAGGCCTATCTCGACCTCTTCTCAAACTCTCCATGGCCAACCTCTCACACCTCCTAACAGGAGCATCAATGCTTCTTTTCTTAACATGTCCGAACCATCTCAGCATCGACTCCCGCATCTTGTCCTCCACGGAGGCTACTCCCACTATGTCCCGGATAGCTTTATTCTTAATCTAATCTCTCCTAGTACACCCACACATCCATCTCAACATCCTCATCTCTGCTACTTTCATCTTCTGCACGTGGGAGTTCTTGACTGGCCAACACTCAGCCCCATACAGCATAGCTCGTCGAACCACCACTCTATAAAACTTACCCTTAAGTATTGGCGGCACATTCTTATCACATAAAACACCGGAAGCGAGCCTCCACTTCATCAATCCCTCTCTAATGTGATATGCAACATATTCGTCAATCTCCCCGTTACCTTGGATAATAGACCCGAGATACTTAAAACTCGTTCTCTTGGGGATAACTTGAGCATAAAGCTTTACCTCTACGTCTACTTCATGGGCCCCGTCACTGAATTTGCACTCCAAGTATTTTGTCTTGGTTCTACTCAGTTTGAAACCTTTAGACTCCAAAGTCTGTCTCCAAACCTCCAACCTCGTGTTAACTCCGCTTCGCGTCTCGTCAATCAACACTATATCATTGGCAAATAGCATGCACCAAGGCACCTCCTTTTGGATGTGTCGCAACAGTATATCTATCGCCAAGGCAAATAAAAATGGGCTAAGAGTCGATCCCTGGTGCAACCCCATCACCACAGGGAAATATTCTGAGTCACCACCTACAGTCCTCACCTGAATCTTAGCATCATCATACACATCCTTAATCACCCTGATGTACGCTACCAGAACGTCGCTAACCTCCAAACACCTCCACAGGACCTCCATCGGGACTTTATCGTACCCTTTTTCAAGGTCAATAAACACCATATGCAAGTCCTTCTTCCTCTCCATGTACTGCTCCACTAATCTCTTTACCAGATGAATCGCTTCCGTAGTCAAACATCCCGGCATGAATCCAAACTGATTCTCGGAAATAGACACGCACCTCCTCACCCTGGACTCCATCACCCTCTCCCAAACCTTCATACTGTGACTCAACAACTTGATACCCCTATAATTATTGTAATTTTGGATATCACCTTTGTTCTTGTAAAGCAGAACCATCGTACTCCACCTCCATTCTTCGGGCATCTTCTTTAAATAACATTAAACAGTCCAGTGAGCCACTCCAAACCTGCTCGCCCCGCACTCTTCCAGAATTCCACCGGAATTTCGTCTGGTCCCGACGCTCTGCCCTTGCACATCTTACGTATCGCCCCTTCCACCTCATCTACCGTAATCCGCCTACAATACCCAAAATCCTCGCCGACTCTCAGAGTGCTCCAACTCACCCAACACAATGCGTCTATCTCCCTCCTCGTTCAACAGTTTATGGAAGTATGTCTGTCATCTTCTCCTAATAAGTGCCTCGTCCATCAATACTTTGCCATCCTCATCCTTGATGCACTTGACTTGATCTAAGTCGCGGGCTTTCCTCTCCTTCGCCTTGGCTAACCGCTACAACTTCTTGTCCCCGCCTTTTCCCCCGAGCTCTTCGTACAAACGAGCTAACGTCGCGTTCTTAGCCGTCGTAACTGCTAACTTTGCCTCTTTCTTTACCTTTCTGTAACACTCCCAATAAGTCCTTTTTTCCTCCTTATTTGTACTCTCCACTAGCTTCAAATAAGCATCTTTCTTAGTTTCTACTTTACCTTGGACCTCTCCATTCCACCACCAGTCCCCTTTATGACCCCTAGGAGAGCCCTTCGTGACCCCTAAGACCTCTCTAGCAGCTACCCTAATGCAATTCGCAGTCGTGAATCACATACTAGACGCGTCCCCCTACTCATCCATGCCCTCATAGCCAACAACTTCTCCCCTAACTCCTGAGCTTTGTCCTTGGTCAAGTTACCCCGCTTGAACTTAGGTTGCCTGCACCCCGCCCTCTTCCTCCTACTCCTCTTTATCTCCAGGAACCCGGATTACAGTCGGGGATGTCCGGACGCGCTTCCCAATCCGCTGAATGTTGCTGCCTCCCGAACCCGTGTGCTTAAACTTAGCTAAAATTGCCTCTCCCGCCCAGTCCAAGATATACGACAAAAACCATAAACTGCCTAGGTCGCCGCCTAGGGCGGCTGGTCCGGGCAATAAAACGGAACAATGGAAGAAAGGGGAAAAAACAGAGGAAGAAAGAAAAAAGAAAAGGGATTGTATCACATGTATATCCATGTATACCTGTATGTGAGATACATGCGTGATACATGTTTGATACATGTGTTGCAGATGAATTTTTTGAACTCGATTTTAACTACGAATTTTGATACCAAATCGGTTCAACTCACCTTCAATTTTTCTCAAATTTTGTATATTGACTCATCTATATGTTTTCAATGAATTTCAACCATACCCATTGAAAAGGGTCCTTTTTATCTTAGATTTTTAGAATCTTGTATGTATATTTTTTTGTATTTCATCACCTTATTTGCTACTTCATCCATGAAATGTTCTTTCATCTTGCATCTAATATTGCTAATCACACTTAAAAATATAGAAGGATATCTTTATGTGTGATTCTTAGAGAGAAAGAACCTTATTTATTTGGATTTTTAATTTTTATAGGTGTTTGGCTAATTTTGGTAAGTCTATGATTAATGGCTAGAAGTTGGTAAATTATGACTTATTTAGGACATTTCTGTAAGATTCCCCCCAAAGAGTACTCTGACCACGGCACCTGACTTCGGGTGTCATGTTGTATTCTTGATGCGTTTGTCAACAATATTACGTGAAATATCAATACATACACAAAATTCTGTCCGAGCGATCAGGTGGCACACCATCCCCTTTCTTCCACATAGATCTGCCCCTGATTATGACGGACTATTATACATGTTTTCTAAAAAAAGGAAAAATTACCTAAAAATAATAACATTGTATAGAAATGAGTATGTTTCATCTAACTGACCTATATATTTATATAAGAAAATAATACATTCTTCCTCTAGGCAAGTAGTCGTGCCAAGAACTACGAGAACAAAATTATGAATCTGTGGACTCAACTCAATTTAGCTCGAGTTCAACTTGTTTATCACCAATATTAACGATTAAGTTCGACTAATCTATCAAACAGCTTAAGCATTAGGGTAATACATAGCACTCATCTACTATATCATCTATACACTAGTGAAAGTGAATCTTTAAGGAATTGTAATAGTATAGCAAAACAAAGGCCATGAATTCATCATGATGGCACTATTTCTTGCTCGTTTCAACAAACTAATCTGCCTCCGCATCTTAATTGTATAGCTAAGAATTTAAGACCAGAATCCTATGAAAATGGAGCAACATTAAGCTCATGACATGCAAAACTGAAGTTTAATATGTAAAACCAAATCAACGGGCAAATATCCAAGAACAGAATCTAGATTATCATGATACGAAAAAACCCCAACAATGTCACAAAGCCGACGTTCTTTTT